AGGAATCAAAACACTGTTTTCATATGGACGGAGTCCATTTTTGACATTTTGACTCTTACACCACTCCAAATGATCTTAGGCAATGATAGTTGATATCATTGCCAAAGCTTGGAAGGATCACACATATCCCCGGTCCACACTTGACATTATCCTTATATGTACGAAAGGTTGGTCATCAACCACACGAATCCTAAAGACAATAGACCTATAGTCTATAGAGTTCCTTGCCTATGGCTGCGTGTCAATCAAAACCAATACTCACGGTTTTAATCAATTTTTTGGTATCCTTAAATTTGATGAGGTTAATTTCCCTATATTTTACTCCATTTAACTCATTTTCTCTTAATAGACTTTGGTCCTACTCATGTACCGTTATTTTTTTTCTAATAAATAGATGAGGTATTCTCTAAGGGTTGGTTTGCAACTCCTTATAAAAAAGCACTTCTCAGCTTTTGGCTTTAAAAAAGCACCTATTTTCCCAAACACTACAACTTTTATTTTTTTCGGCTTCCGCGTCAAAAGTGCTTTTACTTTTTCTATTACACAAAAAGCACTTATTTTACCAAACACTACCCACGTTTATTTTTCAAAATCACTTTTTTCTCAAACACTATCAACTTTTATTTAATCACTTCTCTCAATTTCATTAAAAAAAACACTTTTTTAAAAGCAGAAGTTGTTGCAAACATACCCTAACTCTCACCCCAAAACTCTTTTTGGAATTCAACAAAGTAAAAATATATACGAGTATATATTTTTGTTTATGATTTCATTATTTTCCATCTTTAGTTTGACCAGATCCAAACTTGGGTACCGATTTCCCCTATGTTTGAGATGAGATGTTGAAGGAAGTATAAACTTATCAATTTGTCATACGTAGGCGTGGACCGGGCCGGGTCCGGTCGGGCCTATAATTTTTTTTCCTTTTCTACTTATTTATACAACTTTTGCATATTAAAAACAAGTTTCAAGTGCATTTATGTGAAATGAGAACTACATTATCAGAGAACAAAAATATAATATGAAATACATTTTCTAATAAATAATAATATAATTAATTCTAAGTTGTAACCAATTAATTAATTTGAGAAGTGCTACATATAAAAAAAATGAACGTATATTTATTTGAAATATGAACTACAAGTTTACAAATTAAAATAGAGAATTGAGGGGAAAATGAAAACATGAAATACATTTTATAATAAATTGTAAAATACTAATCAATCGGAATCTCTGGCATAGGTAGAGCCACCCTCAGTTGTTGATTCATCCATAAAGTCGTGGGAGGGGGTGATGCTAATTTCTTGAGTTCTACGTATGACCTTCAACCAATAAGCGTATAAGCGTCTCAAGAGACTCTGCGCTCAAACTCGTTCTAGATGCCGTTAGGACGTTGCCGGCCGAACTAAATTCTTGTTCCACGGCAACTGTTGAAACCGGCATTGATAGCACTTGCTTAGCTATCCGTGCTAAAATCGGGAACATTATTTCTTTTGACTTCCACCACTTTAGAACGTCAAAGTCCTCATTTTCATCAAAATCGATGTCATATGTTAAAGAAAAAGAAATCTCATTAACTGAGCTTTTTTCAGTAGCGTGAGTTGTTTTAGTTTTTTTTCAAAAGATTGTCAAATGCAGATTATGAAACTCATTAAATAAGGCATAAAATAAAGTACTAACCTCGTTGTATTTTATTTGCGGATCGATGGCCTTATCGTCATACATTGGATATGGACCAAAAAAAGCAAGATAATAGAACTTGAAACATTCTTCCAAATTACCAAGTCTAAAACGAGGATTTAGAATAAATGCAATACCATAAATATGCGGAATATGTGCATAATATTTTAAAAACTTTTCCTTCATAAAACCACAAAAATAACTCACGTAAGCGGCATTCTCAAATTCATTAAAAGCACCGGTGAGATTAACAGCTTCACGAATAAATTAGTTTGAGGTTGGTTTATAAACATGACTAAAACTTTCAGTTGCATTATTAAAAAATATCAAAACATTACAAATTTTTCGCAAGTGTCGATGTGATCGGTGTTTAAAATATAGTTATCATATTGTTTTAAAAAAGCAGGAAAATGTTCTTTATATCTAAGAAGAACTTTAATTAATTTATAAGTACTATTCCAGCGAATAGACAAATCTTTAGGAAATGCAACATATTTCACACATCTTTCAGTCAAATAATTTTTCCATTTTAATTTAAGTTGACCATTAGCCCAAATACGTCTAATCCCCCCCCCATTGACTACCTCCATAGCATCTCCTAACACTTTTAGACCGTCTTGCACACATAAATTTATAACATGGCATGCACATCGTTGATGAAAAATCTACCCATCAAATTATTAGAACCACACAATTCACGCAATCTAGGTATAGCAACATTATTATTAGTAGCATTATCAAAACCTATAGCAAACACCTTATCAATCAAATTATACTCAATTAAAATACGCTCAATGGACATATAAATATGTCCAACGGTGTGACGATCATTAAATTCACGAAAAGCAAGAACACATTTATGCATATTCCAATCATCATCAATAAAATGTGCAGTCAGACCCAAATAATGTAAATTATGATAAGTATCCTCCCATATGTCAGAACAAATAGTAACACGCCCATTAAAGTTTGCAAAAAAATTTGTAACCTTGTCTTTTCCGCACGATAAAGCCTTATAATTTCTTTCTTAACCGTTTTGCAACTATAATCTCTATATTGAGGATTTAAACAAGTTTGTGCATAATCTTTAAAAGCAAGACTTTCAGAAAACAAATAAGGCACATTTTCTTCAACAAGTAAGTTAGTCATACCAGTGAAATTTTGTGCATCATTGTATGAGAAATTACCAAAAGGTTTTCCATTTGCAAACCTCGATATTTGAGTTTGCTTCCCATTGTCTTTCGATATTTTCGCATACTTCACCAAGTGCGCGGACTTAAGATGCCTTGTGAGACTCTCGTATCCGCCGGAAGTTCCCAAGCTATACTCCTTATTGCAATGATTGCAAGTTTGCAACTTGCGTACCATTTATCGGTTTTTTGTCTTTCCTCTTTGTAAAATTATTTTCTATAATAGGAAATTTAGATTTATTACCAATTTGGGATGAATCACCCTCGTCCTCCAACTCTTGCTCATCATCCGAGGTGCCGTGAGTCCCGTCGCCCCCCACGTCCTCCTCCACATCCTCATCCTCGAGCTCATCTTCGTCAATGGACTCCGGGATGTTTTGTTGATGGAAAAAGCGGCCATCATTTTGCGCCAATAGGTCTTGTAGTTGCTCGTCGGACATCGCATCCCCATCTCGCCGTTGGTAATCCGTTTCAAAATAATCTCCACTTTGAAAAGAAGACCCGGCCCGCCCTTTACCTTTGTCTTTGCGTAAACTAGGATGAGTTGTCGCAATCTCCTTCCTTCGGTTGTGTTGGAGATTACCCATATCTACAGAATGTCTACCACGGTCCATCTTTAAAATGTAACAAATATTAAATTATATCAAATATTTTAATATGAGTACAATAGTAATAATAAAATGCAACTAAAAAAATTATAGCAAATTTCCAAGTACTTTAATAAAATAACAAGTGTATTTAATTTATTAAAATAGGAGTAATGAAATTCGAATACTTTGAGTGTGTTTATTAAAATAACAAGTGTGCTTATTAAAATAAAAACTAATATATTAAAATGTAACAATTAAATAGTTTTTTTTAATAATTGAAAAACGTAGCAATGAGCCAATGAAGTAGTTTAAATCTTGAACAAGTTTAAAGTATTAAAAGAAAAAAGTATTAAATTTTAATTAACTAATAGGATAATGAGAAATGTAACAATTAACTAGTTTTAATACTGTTGGGGTATATTACCCCGGCCTATTACTGTTCAGAGGCCCAAAGCGTCACCCCGGTATGGAGCCAAGTAGAAATGGGCCCCATGTGTCGGGAGAAACAGAAAACAAAGTCGTGTGATACTACGGCTATTTTCCACTCTTTTTTACGTATAATCCATTGACCAAAAGTATATGCAACTAGGCTTGGACCCGGTTCGGACCACCCGGCCCGGGAACGGGCCCAGCCCGATACTGTTTGGGCCTGGCCCAGGAACCGGGTAGCGGTACCGGAGGCCCGGTTTGAAGGGGAAATCGGGGCGGGTACGGGCTGAGGGAATTGAGAAATGGCCCGGCCGGTAGGGGTGGACCGGTTCCGGGCCGGGCCCGATTCGGGCCTTGAACCGGCTGGGCCTCGGTTCAAGGTAGGGGAGGCCCGGAACCGGCCCGGGTAACCCCGGGTCCGGTTCGGGCCGGGGCCGGTTCGGTTCTATATATTTTTTTTTTTTTGGGTTTTCCTAATCAACCCCCTACCCTCCCCCTCAACCCCAAACCACCTCAAATGGCCCAAAATACCCAATCCAACACAATAACTTAAAAAAATTAAATAAAATAAATAAATCCGGCCCGGACCGAGCCCGAACTGGCCGGGCCGGTTCACCAAAATGAAGGCCCGAGCCCGGAACCGTTAGCCACCGGGCCGGGTCGACCCGAACCATGGGCCGGGCCGCCGGGCCGGGCCGGTTCAAACAGTGACCGAGCCGGTTCGGGCCGCCCGGCCCGAGTCCAACCCTACCGGCCAGTTTCGGGCCCGATTCGGGCCTTTTCAATTTTTGTTTTTTTTTGTTTTTTTTTTGTTTGGGGCTTTGGGCTGGGTTTAAATGGGCCGGAATGGATGTTTCAAATGGGTTTGTGGGATGGGGGATGGGGGGTAGGGGACAAAATAATCAAGAAAACTAAAAAAAAAAATACGGAGTATATATAACCGGACCCGACCCGGCCCAGACCGGCACCGGTCAACTTCTGGGCCGGTCCCGGGCCTCTCTGAAATTGTTTTTGGCCCGGCCGGGCCTAGGCCCGACCCGGAACCGGGCCCGGTTCAGTCCATGACTATATGCAACGAAGCATCCAAACTTGGGCCAGCTTGCAACTAAAATGTTAAAAGTTATTCTCCATTACAACTCGACAAAAATTAGCGACAAAAATAAAGGTTTTTTAATGCGTCTTTGGGCATATAATATGAGACAGCAGATATATATCCCATACTTGCAGTTCTTTAATTAGTTTTATTGATGAATGATGGTTGGCCATCATGTCAATGACTAATTATTGAATGATGCCTAATGACTAATTAACGGGTCATAATGACTAATGAAGGACTGAAATGTGGCTTATGGACCAAAAGCAAAAACATTTGTCCATTTAGCATATTACATTACTCTTTTGAGTCTCTGAAAAAAAAACAGATAGCCCCAAGTCAAGTGCCACCACACATTCTCATTTCCCCCTCTTGAGAACAGCAAAATGTCAGCTCTCTATTCTTGACATCACTGGCAGCATCAATAAGGAAACAAAAATGATTTATATGTACAAGCTATTTCTATTTTTATACAGTTACAAAAATAGTCTCATTATGTAGCACTCTCTCGGATGATGATACATATGTGGGGATGTAATTTGTGCAAATGATTCTTTAAACCTCTAACTGAACAGCAGAATCAACTGTTACGCGATTAAGTCTAACAGTTCCAAGAATTTGTTCCGGAAGTTCTGATTCTTCTTTTGCCTGTTATTCAGAGCAACACTTCTGAGTGAAAACATAAAAAAATGTACTTTAAATCCTCAGGGAACCAATAGAAAGATATACAAAATGTATCATGAATTGACTTATCATTATGCTTGATAAGTCAATTCATGATACGTGACCAATAATGATAAGCCTTTATCCATTGTGTGCTTGTGATGAGTATTGACCAATAAAATGCTAATCCCGTGGAGTGAATACTGATACATTTCATGTTTTTTTTCATGGTTTGCCCTTAAAGTAAGCACTTACACGTTTTTGTTAAATTGGGTCTAGCTCACTCCAAAAGGGTCTACTTTTACCTCACACTTACATACTAAGCTTTTGCAATTGGGATAAACTCTTGCTCACCATTATTTTAGGCTTTTAGCCCGTAGTCATCATTGGGGAGGCAAATTCTTCCATACGCAGACGCCGTGGAAAGTTTTAATTTTACAATAATATGAAAAAAATGAAGTACCTCTAGTAGAATTGCGAGGTCAACAACAAGGCTAGATGCATATCCAAGTACAAGCCCCATGACACTCCTTGCAACAGATGATGAGCCAATGTCTACATCAATCTGGATACAAAGTTCTAATTAATAATAAGATCAGACTCAAGTATCTCAGAAGAAGATACCAGAAGTAATAAATACTGTATAACATTAGCTAAGGTCCCCACCCTAGGGTTGGACCTTCGAGGGTTGTTTACTTAGGAGTATATTTGGGATATCGACTCAGCGAGCTAACATAACACTGTTTTAAATGAGGTAAGGGTCAGATTGGTACTCGAAGTTGCATAAAAAGGGTCAAATAAGTCCTTACTGTCCGGCCATCGCCATTTGAGGCGGTTCCCGGTGGAAATTTTTGATGAATATTTTTAAGCATCTTATTCATTAGGTCTAGTTTACTCATACCAAATTTTAGCTAAAACTTCAATCGGGAAGGCATTCAAATGAATTCTTGAAGATAACTACGCTTTTAACTGCGCAGTTATCTTCAAGAATTCATTTGAATGCCTTCCCGGTTGAATTTTTAGCTGAAATTTGGTATGAGTGAACTAGACGTAATGAATAAGATGCTCAAACAATTTCGTCAAAAAATTCCACCGGGAACCGCCCCAAATGACGACGGCCATACAGAGCCTCTTATATAAGGACTTATTTGACCCTTTTTATGCAACTTCGAGTACCAATTTGACCCTTACCTCGTTTTAAATTCTGAAAACCAGCTCTATTAACATACGTCATCATTATCATCATCATTATCATTACGCCAGTGCCGCAAAGGCTCTCACCTACATAGGGGTAAGGGGGTCAGATGTACGCAGTCTTACCCCTATACTAAAGCACATAGAGACTGTTTTCGAATGACCCATAGTGAAAATCGCGACGAAAATTGCATGGACAGACTGCTGCTTCATAAAAAAGAAGCGCAGGCAATTTAGTGAGCCAGTTTGCTTTATTCCATCATATTCCCAAGGCAAAAAATAGTCATCATCATTACCCCAGTGCCGCAAAGGCTCCCACCTACGGTGGGGTAAGGGGTGGTCAGATGTACGCAGTCTTACCCCTGTACTAAAGCACAAAGAGACTGTTTCCGAATGACCCACAGTGAAAATCACGTCGAAAATTGCATAGACTGACTGTTACTTTATAACAAAGAAGCGCATACAGTTTAGTGAGCCATTTTGCTTTATTCCATCATATTCCCAAGCCAAAAAATAGTGAGTCTTTGGCTCCATTGAAAATGATGGAAATCAAGCCAAAAAATAGTGAGTTAAAAAATTAAAGGGAAAACTGTCAAATAGGTCCCCGAACTTTCATAAAAAAGTCAATTACGTCCTTCTATAAGAGACTCTGTCCGGTCATCGCGATTTGGGGCGGTTCCCGTTGGAATTTTTGATGAAATTTTTTGAGCATCTTATTCATCAAGTCTAGTTTACTCATACCAAATTTAAGCTAAAAATTTAATCGGGAGCGCATTCAAATTAATTCGAGAACGCAAAAATGCGCAGTTATCTTCAAGAATTAATTTGAATGTGTTCCCGATTGAATTTTTAGCTGAAAATTGATATGAGTAAACTAGACTTGGTGAATAAAATGCTCAAAAAATTTCATCAAAAAATTCCACCGTGAACTGCCCCAAATCTCGACGGCCGGACAGAACCTCCTATAGAAGGACTTAATTGATCTTTTTATGAAAGTTCGAGGACCTATTTGACAGTTTTCCCAAAATTAAATGAAAAAAATCAGTGGGCTAACATGGCATTGGAGAGGCAAATTGGGATTATCTGTCCCCTAGTACCACACAACTTCATCGAGTGAGCACTGAACACTTGGTAACCTCCTGATGGATATAAGTTCGCGGCCTGATCGACCGCTCCATATGTCTTGGTCTTTAAAGACTGACCAAGCTCAGGCCTTGGTTAAGCACAAAGACAAAGACCAAACTCAGCATTTGGCAGTGGTTCAAACGGTCAATATTATTCTCATTAGTTCACAACAGACTAATATTCATGTTTTCATTTAATGGCACTGATTGTGTGAAGTTTAGTAATTTATTAGCATATTATTGTTATTATTAGCTCACTCGTGTGCAATTATTCCCCTATATTTATGGGTCCACACCATCACGTATAAGAGGGGCCTTCTGCTCTCATTTGGAGGGAAGCTTTCAGCCATGACTTCATCTCTTGAATACTCCCCTAATACAATATAATACGCTCTCATGAAAACTCTTACTATTTTTATAATCATTTTATGGGTTTATGTTGGGTCATCCCCTAAACAGTCCAACACCCACACTCATGTGTAACAATAGCCTGCAAATCAAATGGGATAAGTGAAATGCATTTGGAAACCCCTATAGTTATGAATACGGGCAAAAGGCATAGTTATGGAATCCAACCTCCAGAAAATTGTCTTGGCAAAGATATTTGCATGCTACTGCTTTGCCCAACAGGCAAGCCTTAGTCCCAACTGCACGTTTGACCATCCAGTGTCCCTGTTATTATAAAAACAAAGCATTATGCTGGTGTCAAGGATAAACAACAACAACAACATCCAAGCCTTAATCCCAAAAGATTTTGGGGTCGGCTAACATGAATCGATCCATGATATCAGAGCCAAAAAGAGAAGAAAGATAAGAAAAATAATGAAAAGGAATTGCCTCGATGATGATTGAGGTAACTTAAAAAATATGAAAAGAGATAACTATGGTTACTGATGAATCTGATGATACCTCAATGATGCTTGGGATAAGTTTGAACCTTGAATCACGAAACATATCGGTACCATCAAAGAATTTACCCAACAACGAATCCTTTACGATGGGCTTATTAGTGGCAAAATAAAGAATCAGGCTGTAATTTGGTTTAGCTGGAACCTGAAGATAACACCACAATATCATTTCTCGTGTTCATTACAAAAGTAATTACCGGTCATTTTGCCTCATCTTGTTTAACACAAATACTTTTTTTTTGAAAAAATTTAACACAAATACTTATATTCCGCCTTTTCCTGTTTTTTTGCTGCCCAAACTGACCAACAGAGAAGTTATAAAAACCAGTCAATGGCTTTAAGAACTAGAGATATCCCACTTACAGCCCAATGTTTGCACATTACATGCATTTCATAAAAAAGTTGGAAGGATTCACTTTAAACAAAAAAATCATTAAAAACAGTCCTGCTTTCTTACACATACCATAAGATTAATGACAAGGATGAATGGAATTTTTTTCCCTGCTTCAGACTGCAATAAGAACAATTCATTATTTTAGATATTTAACTTAAAGTTTATAAGCATAAACCAGTCATGAAAAGTCTGAAACTGCCCACGAAGGTCTGATAGTTGATTGCACAACTTTATGATGCAAGGATTTCTCTCAATTATTAATATATATAAGGGTTTTTTACAAGAAAAACCAAGGACAAACAAAGCTGAGTTTTGTGTACTCCCGATCTCCCATAGGAGGGTGAATTCTGTGTGGTCTATCTTAGGTGGCATAGGAGAGAAAAAAAGTTTTTTTGTTTAATTTAATATCAATGAAGAATTGAAGACTGGTGGAGACAAATTCGTGAACTGGTTCTAATTCTATGGCAATGTCTATATGTGGACGTTAAACAGGATTCAAAACTAAAAATCGGTTATATCTGATCTTAAGAATAAAAGTTGAAATTGACTTTGGACCATGCGGGACCTACATAAAAATTATGAGATAAAAGTTGGGTCCAACGTAACAGATCAAACTATTGGACCCAAGAGCATTAAAGATGCTCCAACCTGAACAACACATTTGGGGTGCAATGCAACCTTCGTAATACAATGTTCCACCTTGTACCAATCAACTGCAATGAGATTGAGCAGTGGATCTCCACCCTTGACCTGGAAAGATGGTAGCATCAACTATCAAATCAAAGCAACGTTAATTTCTAATATGTCCATCTCACATATACAGACCACCAATCCTTTTTGGGTCGTCTCACAAAGATAGTTCAGCTTCTAAACTAAATAAACCATTAGTTCTTCAATCCATATACACCCATGATTAATGTATCCTAAATGGATTGTTAACAAAATAATTAAAGTGATATAAAGGTATACAAGTAAAATATACGCAAATATGCAATGTTGATCTTTTTTACTACATTGACTATTACTACTTAACGCGTGTCTAAAAAGAAGTTAGTGTATCTTTGTGGAATGAAGGGAGTATAATATTCATATTCAAAAGGAATGCAATATAAATTACAAAAAGACCCAACTTAATAACATCTTCATAGACAACCAAAGCCAGTTTTGACGTAATCTTATTAGAGGACTTTCTGTTAGTACGTGTAGACTATGGTTGTGTCCAAATTAATTTCAGCCTTTTCTCACTGATGAGTGTAGCTAAATGATGCAGTCCATCTATAATAATATCAGTAAGAGCTATCAGCAAAAAGTGTAGCAATGCATAATTGCACGTGTAAGCAAATACCTTTCTATTATCTCTTAAGTATGACTCCCCTCTTATCATGAATCCCAACCCCCCTGGAGAGTTCCAGCAGCTCAGGTCATTCACATCTTTCCCTTGCTTCATAGTACCATAGAAATAACGTGGACTGAGAGATAAAGTTGAATTTGTACTAAGCTCCTTGCCAATATCTTTTGCTGCAACGAGTTATTAACACGAAGTTTAATAAGCCAAATTGAGACTATGGTCAAGAAAATCTCTGTCATTCACTACATCTTATCGAGGGGGGGGAAGGGGGGGGGGGGAAGGGGGGTAAAAAGAACTATATATATGTGTGTGTGTGTGTGTGTGTCTATATATATATTAGCCACTCAGTCATGACATTCATTCTCTTTTTGGCTGCATCTGATCAAAATGAGTTTACTATTGTAGAAGTGCCAAGTATGACAGGAATTATATCCAATTTACACAATAAAAGGGCGAGCAAAAAACCCTAAGTAGAGGGTTCAATTCCATTCCAACAATCCTCGTGCAATATCAAACAATAAATTATTATTACTGTTGTTATTGTCATTTTTATTACTATAACAACAACAATAGTAGTAACCCATACAGCAAAATAATAATAATAATAAAGGGGATTTGAACAACTGAAGAAAGATGACTTGAAGGCACCCCCACCTGTTTTCTGATCAAAGCTAATAGATAATTCGTACCAAAAACATTTCACAGTTTCTTGCACTTCATCTCTAACAAGCAGTGGTACATTCCATTGGACAATTACTTCTTTACAAATTTGAGATCAAATTATTGAGACAATTATGTTGTCTGGTGGCCTAATCAGTTAATAGTTACAAGTATAACTCAGAAAGAAATCGTTTTGAATGGAAAAGATGGTACTGAGAAAATACCTGAAGCTCGATTTAGTGCTAATCTTGCTGTTGCCCATGAAACCTTCTTTGTTTTAACTACTTTTTCCTAAACAAGGTAAATTGAAGATCATTAACGATATGTGTTACTAAAAAAGAAACATTATACCCATGCCTCCTTAGATCACTTTAATGAGAAAACGAACTACAAACCTTATTAATGGGTTCCACTTCATCATCACTATCTTCATCAGATGATGACGAATCAGAGGCTATTGCATCATAAAACAAATCCACCCCTTCTGTGCCCTCAAGTTCATTATTGTGTGCATAAGCATCAGATTTTTTTGAGTTAAAGCTTACACCAGATGACTTGAATGGGCGTGTTGGGTTTGCTCCAATATATTCTTTCAGACCTACAATACTAAGAGAGAGAATTTAGTGCAACCACAAGTGAAAGGCATGCAGGAAGGAGAAAAAAAACACTTGAGCACTACGATTTGGTGCCCCTTGATATCACTTACACATGAAAGACTCTAGATAAGGAAACCAAAAGCATCCCATAAAGATTTGTCCATTTACTCTCCAAGAGAATTTAAATAAGAATCAAACTTTACAAAGAAGATGCAAGAAAACAAAGCTATTCACCTGCCACTTGACTTAGCAGTCCAAATGGAATAGTCTTCTCAAATTCAGAGAAGTCGTTCTTCTTCCACTTGAACCAGTTTTTAGAGCGGATCTCCACCATTAGTGTCACAAGACATTTTGCTGAATTTGATGATGTGCTTATATTCCTAATCTCCCATGAGGAAGCTATATGGCAACATTAGCAAAGTCATGAAGAATTAACAAGACAAAACAAAATACATGAGTTCATAATCTTATTTTTACGGATGATAACATCAAGTTCACAATGAGAGACGCAACATCAAATGAGAAGCATCGATCATGGACTCATGGATAGCTTGAGACCATTTGGGTCGGCCAATGTAATTAGTTTTTCAAATAAACATTTTACACAATATTTTTATGCATAAAATATTGAGTTTTTTTCCGAACTTGAGAGGCCCAGGTCCGGATGGCCCCTAGCTATGACCCTACTGAGCATGTTCACTAACTTCATTTGGGGAGTGGTGAGTGAAGAACAATATCAGTGAGTTTTGAATTTTGATGCGGTCGTGGTAAATGATAAATGACCATAAGAGTACATATTTATATAGAATACATAAGGAATAATTTTATACAACCCTAATTTTATTTATATATTACACAAACAAACAAAATAAATATGAATAGAATATGCCATAATTTAAAGTATTGAAGATTTTATTTATATATATCTAAATATCTAATAAAACCAAATCGTTGATAATTACTCAAATAAATTCATTTAAGTACTTCAATAATAACATGCTCTGAAAATGTTTAGAAAGAGGAGATGTGACAGCTTCGCTTTGTACTAGTAACTTGGGTGATGTGGTAAAGTAGCTATGAAGAGCCTTATGGCTCCTCTTATTAGTTTTGCTTAAAGCAGTCTCTTGAAAGTTAAACTTATCTGATATGCTATTATTTATAAAAGGGGTTTTGGGAATTCCTCTCCGGACACTCCTCAAAAGCTTTAACTGTACCACGAAAGATGCTACATTGGGTGGTGAGCGTGGCATATTTGTCACATCCTACCACTCAGTCTCCAAACAGAATTTTTTAGATTTGGACCGGTGGATTTCTCCCACCGCTCCAAATGTAGCCAATTTATGATGTATGCAGGACCTTCCATTTTGTAGAAGACACTAATGAGTAGACCTTTACCTATCGAGAGTAGTGTTCAATATTTTATGGAATATTCAATGAGTGATATATATGGCAACTTTTATTTATCTCTTCCTCCATATAGTATACACATGTTATCAAACAATAACAACATATTACGAGCACTACCAGTAAATGCCAAATGCTTTATGTTCTACTGCAAGAAAGATGATAAGAGCCCGTTCAATGGATCATAACATTATTTGTTTATTGAATCATCAAGATGATCTCTTACAGTTTATTTTTGTACGACGATAACCAGATTTTGGAGCCCAATTCTTATGAACAGCTGGAAACTGCAAGATTACTGCACATTTAAATAACCAATCTGAGTGATTTCTACAAAAAATTAGATATGAATGTTAAACGTAACACTAGAAAAAAGTTGACCCTTGAATTTGATTCCTTAGCAGAAAAATTATTACTCCCTCTATCCCACTTATCTTTGTCCCATCTTTCCTTCTCATCCATCCTACTAAGTTTGTGTCATACCCTATTTAATAGCATTTGTGTAATCCTAGTTCATTCTTACTTTATTCAAATTTTATCAATTCAATATCAACCACATAACTCAACTTTTCTTGATAATCACATCACTTCCTCATGTCCCAATCTTAGTGGGACGGAGGTAGTATCTAATTAAATTTTAAGCAAGGCATTAGAAACTGATAATTCTTTTTTCTTCTTTGGATATATTTAAATTGATGTCTTACATTTTTATCTATGCGTTTATTAACAAATATCAAAATATCACTCAAGTTAGCTAGCTGCCATACACAGACGTCAATAAAAAGGGTATAAAGAGTTCATAAGTCTTACTGTAAGTTCCATCTTGACCTTGCCACCATTGACGGGAAAAGACAAAATCTCTCTTAGAGTGCCACCTGCAGAAACAAATCTGAGTAGTGGATAGAAATAAGTTGTACTTATAATATTAACAGAGTTTAGAAAATATGGCAGAAGATTGGTATCACACTTCAATCCTCAGCAAGAAAGCAAGTCAAAGTTGCATGCAAGCCTAGCTCATATTGACAGTGCGCTTGGGACATCTTTACAAGCAGTCTTAAGAACTTAGCTTGTAAGTGGAAAAAAAAATATGAAACTAAATGTGTGCAATTTTTGTGCACTAAAGGAAAGAAAAGAACAAAGAAAGCAGTAGTGCAGGGGCTAGCACATAGGAAAGCTACTGTGGGTGGGGTTTGAAATCATGTATGGCATTTGCTCATGAAAATTATAGGCATGCATATTAAAGTTGGGAATTAATTGGTAAGCTAACATGTGAAGGTATACTTATTACAGTGGAACAAAAAACATGTTATGGGGCATAGTGAATCTGTCGAAAAGAAAAGTACACATGAAAAGCCCCAATTTTAGTCAGTAGTCATTGACGTCTCTTTTAATCTCCAACATACTTTTTTTTAGCTCTCCTACATTATCCACTTGTCAAAATGTAACCTCATGTTTCTTTCATAATTCCCTAGAAGCTTAATGTATTACCTTTATCTCGCGCCCATTTCCCCCAACATCAAGTAATGTATATGTTGGAGGGAGTGAAGGGAGGGACGAGGGAGGTGGTGGGGCCAGCAATAATTGCTAACTAACATAAAGCACAAACCAAGAAAGATCATAAACTGTGTACACAAATCAAATGTAAGGCTGCATGCTATTCAAGACCACTAATTGACTAGACATATAAGTGTACTTAGCAACTCACAAAATGAATCACATCTATGCCTAATAGTTTGAGTAAATACAAGATTTCCAAGTAAATACAAAATGAATCAACGATCACATCCAATGAGAACGAGGACTCAATCACATGTGGAGTTACCTTGACAAAACTCACATGTGGAGGGTGTTTTTTACTTGTTCTTAGGGTTGGGCTTTTGTCTATCCTTTTCATTTTTTTTCTCTTTTTCTATGTATTCTCTAGTGGTTTATGCCTTTTTTTCCCTTTCACAATGTACTCTACTTGGCTTGTTTTTGAATAAAACTATCTTTGAAAAAAAAAGATGTTTATCTTATTAATTCAAAAAAAAAACAAGATTACCAAGTCAGGTGCCTTGGCTCAAATGTCCCATAAACAACATCATGATGTCCACTCAAGGAAGCAACCAACTCCAGGTCTCCTGTCAATGTATCCCACCTATTGCATTGCAGCACTATTAGATAAACTTAAAATGCAGCAGTTTCAAATACCTTGCGAGACAAATGCCAAACATACTCGTATCTTTGATGTCGATCAAGATTTAGCACTATCTCAAAAATAGTGTTTGCACTTGCTTCAACAACGCCAACAGCCTTGACGAGCACAACTTTACAGCTCTATGCATAAATAAATGAAGTTAACAGGAGCATAATAAGGGAACCCCCTTTTTATATGTGGAAACCAAAAGCAGTATGGAGAACCAGTTTTCCCAATTAAAAGCAGTATGGAGAATCAGGTCATAGCATGACTACAAGAATTTCAAATTAATTGTGATACTTGATAAATTTATACCTTTACTTCCGTCATATCTTCAAATATTCGAACACCTACACTACAAGAAGCAGAGAAAAAGAAGTTACACAGAAAGAAGAAAAAAAAGCAACACTCTTGACTCATCCCCAAATTAGCAAAGCACTCTGAGATTTATTCAACAAATACGCATCTGTTACTCAAAAATTGCTGAGTTCTGAATCCTACATTTTCACTCATATTTGAAATCTTTCACTGAAAAGATGGACTCATATACCCCAAGTTTTGGTACAGGTTTCTCCAGTGTAGAGCTGAATATGACCATTAGCAGTTAAATCTTTATTATGTATACTATACAAGAAGTACAAAGTAGTCCTTAGCAAACTCGCCAATTTGGATGTTATAAAGTCGGCCACATTTCACATAGAAACAGAGTGCAGACCAATATTGATGATTAGTATGAAGTACAAGTTAAACCCATTAACAGTGATGAGAAAACAACACTGAGTTCGAGGACCTCCACATTTTTGTTACTGTAGCTTATTTTACTTATTGCATATCTTAGATTCACTGATATTTTATTTATTACGCGATTTCTTAGAGATCTCAAAATCTTTAAATATCACTTATTGCATATCTTAGATTCACTCATATTTTATTTATTATACGCCGCATTACAACAATAATCAGAATAGAGAAACCTTTCTCTATTTTCTTCCAATTTACAGTTACAAATGAATTTCTTTCGACATAACTTCGATGGATTTCAATATTTCAAATGTATATTCAACAGATTCAAGCAAAGGCCGAAAATTCAACAGATGCAAGCAAATAGTGATCAAGTTAAATATGTTGCGATAGAATAAGGTAGCCCTAGTGCAGCCCTAATTTCTACAACCCACTGGTAGCCACTGTTTTCATGAATGTTTTGTACATTTAATTATATAATAAAACTACAGAGAACCTAGACTCTCACTATCTTCTTTGTAATATGAGTAGTAGTTTTATCGCTTTTCTCTAATTGCAAGTGGAAGAAATTCTTAAGAACATGAAAGTCAAAATAAATAAGAGTTGAATGACCAACTTATATGGGAGCTCCAATGCAACCCCTGCAGATGGGTAAATTAATGTTTGATCGTTAGATCCAGCTGCCTGTGACATCACATCAACTTATAAGGGCATCTCAATCTAACACCCCATCACCAAGTGGACACTTCCCTACTATGGCAGCATCGATCAAATGTCCAAACCCTAGTATATTTCAAAAGAACAAAGACTCTAAGAACTAAAAAGGCATGTACCATTTATCGTGCGGATACATTTCCATTCACGGGCTTCAGTAGCATCCCCACCATGTGCTTCATAGTATAGCTCCGGGATGCTGTCAGCGCATAAGGTTGATGATAGCCGTAGAAGTTTTTCTGTCCCTGTTTACAAGAATGTTGACAGATACATTATTCCTCGAGGATAGAAAGGTGCTGGTTTGCAAGAAGCCCATTCACACTATAGTACTGAATTTGAACATGATCCACTGTATGAAAACTATGATATCTTCTCTTAAATTGAAGGACTGGATTATTATATTGAAAGTGATCTAAAGAGTCTTCAATTAAGTTGAGAAAATGTGCTGTGGATTAATAGCATCAAACAGGAAAACACAAAAGACATAACTCCAATCTCATGTTATATTGTTGACAAAAAACTATCCATGCTGTTCCGGAATTCTTTTCATGGACCTCATCAATCAAATATTATACACACAAAATCACAAACCTACAGAACTACATATGAGTGTGTGATAGGGAAATGTAGATCTGCAGGAACAAGAAGCCATGTCTCCACAAACTAACCTTGTCCTCTTTTTATTAGCTCTTTCAATCCATTTGCATACCGCCGCACCTTCGGTCGATGTCCTTCTCGGTTAATTCTTCAATAAAAGATGTAGCCATAGTTGGACAATCCCGAGTTCATACAACAGATCATATACTTTTTCAAGTGACAATTACATAAAAGTATTCAAGCAGACTTAAAAATTGCAGGTCATGAAGCATCCCATTGAGTCATAAATCCACATGCTGTCATGATTGGCCGAGTTGAAACCCGAAAGATCACAGGAATATGTACACACACACCACATTATACATGTACAATATATATTATGTAAAGGAAGTTAATAATATGTTAAATCAAACAGGAGCAAACAAAAAGCATGGTCTATGAGCATGTTGAAATGGTTCCTTCATCTCTACACTACTCTTTTGTTTTACCCTAAACAGATGTAAGGTGTAGGCGGATTCTAAAAAACCTCTGGAATAAAATAATACTCCGTACTACGTAATAATTTAATGTTTTCACACAAGGCACATATAAGACATCTAGGCGTAGTTTTTTCTCAAAAGAGAGTGTAACCATACTCATTCTCAGTGCTGAGCTTATGTATTGCAGCATCACCACTTGAAAACCCAACCTCCACCTACAATTAAAGGGTCGGCAATGAGATTTCAAGAAGAAAAGAGAAACTTTTGCCAAGGCAAGACAGTTTAAACATGGAAGTTGTATTATAAAAGACCTTGGGCCCATAAAGCTATGCCCTTTCTGGTTCTTTATACCTGTTTCTTTGCATGATCGAAGGCATCCATCCATTTTTCAGCCTCTGCAGCAGTAGCACAAGCAATCTGTTACCAATTAAAAGTTACTAATATGTAAACGGATCAGACAGCCTCTGACAAAAGTGATCTGAAGTAAAAATAGATTTGAGCATTAAACTACACCATTGTTAACAAACGCTTGAAGTAAGATCCTCAAACATAACTAAGAATGACATAAAACACTTACTTCTCCCTTTTTTGTCTCATCCGATCTGTTGTAAAATCTCACAACATATACATCCTAACATATACATTAAAAAATCAGTCTTCAGAATGGGAAGGCAAGGCAGAATAGAGAAACGTAAACAGTGAGGAAATGGAAGCAAATAATCAAATTTGTAAGAAGTAGATAAAATAAAGCTAACTAGAGTATAAAGAATTAAGGATCCAAGTGTAAGAAGGGTATGGATATAGTAAAGCAATTATATAAGGGAAATAAAGACAAGCTAAATGCATCAGGTAGTTACACTGTACTCCATATTTAAATACAGGAGTCTTACCCCGTGATTAACCTTTCTATGGCCTAATCCCTCCACCACAAATGAATTACCAATAACTCCCCTCCTAACGGGCCTCTGCACCATGAAAGGGTTAACAACAAATTTTAGCAACAATTAGCCGAGCTGAAAATAGATGAATATCAAAATCCAAGTACAGCATATGGATCATTTCACTCAATTCGATCACAATAGATAAACAAATTCAAAATGAATTCAACAAAAATATACAAAAACAAACCAAACAATTGTGGCAATGTCTCATTATTAAGCTTACAGCGCGGGGATATTCACGGGGATCACGCTTATACATTTGGACGAACATGCCGCGGATGATAAGGAACCGGTGGCGGAAATACTCATGACCAATTGAATTAACCCCGAGATGATACACCCAGCCGGAGTACTCAAAAGGGGCGTTCCCGCTGCCACCTCTGAAGTCGGCGCCGTTCTCCGACGAACCGCCGGTGTTCCCTACCTTGTTGCATTTCGAGCCGGAAGCCATAGAAGATAAATTTTGGAGGGAATATCATGCATTGTGGCTCGCAATTGACGTTGAACTGAAAAGAACGAAGTAACGAACACACGAAGACTGCCTAACGAACTGTGGACCGGAGAGAATATAGGATTAACCTTTTCTTTTGTTTTTATTTTTATACTGTATTTTATTTTATTTTTCTTTGAATAGTAAACAAGAGCAATTATTTAAGTATCAATCGCATTTTTTGATATTTTGTCTAATTACTTTTTATTTAATCATTTTGTCTTTTATATAGTTGTAAGTGTTTTAAATTATTTTTTATTTATTGTGATATTAAGTTTCAGTTTGTCTCGCTAAAAAAAACAAATTATCTAATACATGGTTAGGGACGTTTGCGGCTCGTATGTGTATTGTAATATTAATAGACTCAGTTTTATTGATTGATTTTGATAGACCATTTTCATTCAAAAAAAATTATCTTTGTTTGTTTTTATTTACAAATTACCACATTTTAATGATCAAAAATAGGCACTCCATCCGTATTGTTTTATTGTTATATGTCTGTGTAACACCTTCCTTTTATGGGGAAAGTTTTATATAACACATCAACTAAATATCATAACTTTTTACTTTTAATTACCTTCTTTCACCTACTTCACTATTTTATTATCTTTTTTCATCTTTTAATCATCTTCTTTCACAATTTTATCATGTAAATTGTGATTAATGTCCAATTTACATCCTCCCATAAAACTGTTTGGTCGGTGTTGGGGGCTCTCGGGAATGGGGTGTCATCCTTTTTTATCATCTTTTTTCTACTTTACCTATGATTGCAAATAAAAGAATATACAGAAAGTAATTTTCAACTTTTCATTTTTGCATGGTAGAGATATTTAAAGGATTGGTTTGATGAGATTTATTGTTTTTTATAATTGATGAGATTTATTCTTAAAAATATCTTAAATGAACGTAAAACATTGCTAAGATTATTAATATGACTACTCGGTTGGGGTTAGGGCCGGGGTAAGGTAGGGTATGGTAGGAGTAGGGTAAGATAGGATATGGTGGGGTCTGGTAGGGCCGATGTGGTGAGGGGTAGGGGGGTAGGGGTAAGGTGGTAAGAGCTTAGGTTGGGGTGGGGTGGGGTGGGTGTGGTTGGGATCGGGGTAAGGTAGGGTAGGGGTGGGGTCAGGATCGGGTGGGGCCGAGGTGGGGGTGGGGGTAGGGTCGTTGTAGGGACGCAGGGGTGGGGGTAGGGTAATGGTCGAATAGGGGTAAAGTACGAGGATGGATAGAGGTAGTGGGTAGGTCGAGTTGCAATCCTATTGAAAGGAGACTCCTTTTAAGTTTAACTTACACCATAGGCTATGTTTTATATTACAAAACCTAATGCTCTCCATCTCTTTCTTTCATGACAAGTATTACTAGACCACATCCTACTGGAACGTTTATTACTTTATTTCCTTTACAAACTCACTACCTTCCTAGTGAATTTTTGGTAATACCTGATATGATAAGGTATGTCAATTGATGTAGTTTTGTCCAATTCCAATTTCCATCTAATAATCACTTTCTTGCAATCATAGATAAATATGGCAATAGTAGTTATTGAAATGGTATTAATAGTGCTTATTCAACATTTACTTTCATGAAAGTGAATATATAAAATGAATGTAAAAACATGATAAAAGTATAGCAAGTTAATAGTGATAGACTGATAGAGTCCAATAATCGAGTAACAAGATGTCACTAGAAGTAAAATTATAGTGAAAGAGTGGTGGTTAGGGGCGGAACGTAGTACAGACCTAGGGGGGCGGTCGCCCCCCCCCCCCCCAACAACAAAATTTTTTAGTATATATATATAATAAAAAATAATTTTCGCCCTCTCAAAAAATATTTTGTTTAAGTTACCGCCCTCCCAAGACAAACTTCCTGGGTCCGCCCCTGGTGGTGGTTGCTAGTTGGTGCAGAGGGTAGCAAGAATTTGTAGTAATTAATAATTATTTTAAGTTAAATAATATTTAGATGATATCATTGCTATGGTTAATGCCTTTTCATTTTGGAGGTACTTTTGATTCTAATCATTCTATACTCCATTTACCCCTGTTTTTTCCTAACTCCTTGATGAATAATAGGAGTATCCAAACTACTTCCTATATTATTTAGGATAGTTGAGCTAGAGAGAATGAGGAAGATGATGAATAGTGTGAATATTGATTAGGGTTTATAAGAGGCTTTGAAAGGGGTATATATAGAGAAAGAACATGATTGGCTGCTAACATAGGCCTAACTACGTAAAAAGACTCGATCACTTCTATTTAAGAATCTGGGGTTACATTTAGGGGGTGTTTGATCTGATTCTTAAAACTGCTTCTGCTCCTTCTGCCTTCTGGGTGAAAGTGCACAAGTGGTTCTGGTGCTCTTATTTATATCTAGAATCAATTTTTTTAGAAATAGGGATACCAGCTTCTGAAAACTGATTCCGATTCTACTTTAAAAAAGAAGCAGAAGCAGTTACAAACACCCTCACTCATATTTGGGATTCACCCTTTAATCCATTTATTCTTGAACCATTAATTTAACCATTTTTGACTTGACGAGTGTCTATGATTGGAGTCATTGCCTCATTGGCAGTTGGTAGTGCTGGACTCAGGCCGGTTCCGGGCCGGGCCGCCCGGCCCGAGTCCAGCACTAGCAGTTGGCACCAATAAGCCGGCCTTGTCCCATACATATACTGTAAGCTACTCCGTAATATTTAACATTGTTTCTGTCGTGTTCATTTATACCCCAAGTATAATCACTTTTTTTACTTTTTATATTATTTTTTAATTATATGCAATAATAATATTACTGTGGGCCTGCTTGTGGTATCTTTAAATAAAGATCCTTTTTTAAAGTGAGAAATAAGAAGATTAAAAAAGGATAGCCTTTATTTAATAAACATTGAACATTTCCCAACATAATGCTCGTTAGTTACGACATTTCGAGAGTATATCTAAATAATAATAAATAAAATAACACCTTCGCAGTGAAATACTACTATTGTAGTGAGTTCTAAAATATAATGGTGAACACAGATAGCTAAAGTCAACACAGCCCTAAGTTATACTTCGTACATCATAGAAGTGAAACAGTAAATAAATCATCTTTTGGCACCCAACCCTTGTGATTTAGGACGCCTCACGGCATGTATAGGAGTGGTGATACCTTGGGAATCCCTTCCAAGTCCCATGCCTTCAACAAACCCCATCTTTGCCATCATCTTGGATCCAAATCCTTTCGTGTGATTCTCAAACGCTGCAAACCCTTGAGATTCCTCCTGAGCCTTACGACCATTAGGTACTCTCTTCCCCGAATTCCTGCTTCTTCCCGGGATATCCTTGCTATAATCAACTGATTCAGTATGGGTCCGTCTGGAATCCAGAACACGCTGGGGTATGGAAAGGGGAAGGTATAAGTAGAAGAAACTTTGAAGAAAAGAAAATGTGGACAAAAGGAAAGTAAGATCAAGTGGCCTTTATATAGAGCCCATTTGGTAACACTAAAATTGGCTGAATCGTCTAATTCTCCTGAAATTTATGAAGTTCTGGCTGAAATGACTGTATTGGCTGATTCTGCTGATTTATGAAAAAATTATATTTCAAATTTATTTTATTAATAAAATAAAGAAGAAAATATGAAAAATAGAAAAAATAGTCATCTATAGTAACTTCATCCAATACAGCCAACAAAGTAACTTCAATCTTACATTTTCTTATTATTACACTATTCAGCGCGCGGTATCAAAAGTTACGTGTTTGGTTTAAAAATTAGTTGATAAACAGAATTTGATAAGCAGAGTCACCAAACAGGCTCATAGTCTAAATTTCGGCTTATGAGCCTTTTTTTTACAAAACCTCAGCTTTTGACATAGCAGTCTGCACACCGATGCACACTGAACTGGTTAATAAAAAGATAAATGGCTGGTTATACTTTTTTTGTCTGAAATGCTGAAGTTGCAAGAGATGACCATATTTGCCTTTTTTGGACATTTTTCTGTAATGCGTTAATAATATAGTTTTCCTATAATTCAACAAATTCTCAATTTCAGTCAAAAATTCAATAACTTTGGCAGAATCAACCACTCCAGTTATTTTATGCTTTGCCAAAACTATCAAGTAATACCCATTTGCATACTTTTTGGGTTTATCAGCCTCATGAGCCATACTTTATACCAAACACCATCTTATTTCACTATGCCCGCTGAATCGACTCATTGGAAAGGATAGTGAGAATGTTACTTTCAGCATATTTCTGCCACAATTTCAGCAATTCAGCCATTTTAGGTCTTAGCAAACAGGTCCTAGAACTCCATAAATTTATCTTATATATTTGTTGATACTCATTTTATTTATGCATATACGTAGTAATATAGACTGAGAAATATTAGGGGGTGTTTGGGTTTGATTCTTAAAACTGCATCTGCTCCTTCAGGGAGCAGAAGCAAATGCTGGAGTGTTTGGGTGAGTGCAGAAGTGATTTTGGTGCTCAAATTTGCTCCTAGAATCAGTTTTTTAGAAGCTGGGGGGTGACCAGCTTCTGAAAACTGATTCTGATTCTGCTTCCGCTTTAAAAAAAAGAAGCAGAAGCAGAATCAGTTCCAAACACCCCCTTAATATAATAAAAGTCGTGTTACAAAAAAAAGTCGTGTTACTTCCTCCTTTACATTTTTCAGGGTAAGCATTTTCCCCATTTCCCTAGCAATTCCTGAGATCCAAAGATACTCTAGAAGTTTAGAGTAGAGAGTGGTTACCTTAACAGTGCTCGTTTCAGCAATGGGAGCTCCCAAACCAAGTGCTTTAGGACGTTGAGAAACTTGGATGGGCTCTGCAATACCCTGCCCATCCTTTCCTAAACCTCCACCTGTGAAGCCCATTTTAACCATCATTTTGGAACCAAAACCGGTCGTATGCAACTCAAATGCACCATAGTTCTCCAGTGGGGTTGATATATTTGACTCCTTTGATTCTTCAATAGCCTTCTCCTCAACTTTCTCTGAACCCATTATACCGCTTGATATGAATGACACGGGTTGAGAAGAGTATGAAGGACCAATTTTACCATCCCGCTTCTTTCTGCTTGATGCATCTTTATTATTGCCCCCAG